TGCAGTGAAAATTGAGATCGCTCGACCTCAATTTTCACTTCTTCAGAACAATTCTAAGAATGCGAGTGTTTGTGATTCGGTATGGTACTTGCAGTCGGGAAAATTGAAAATATTCGCGATCTCATTCTTTCTGGGACCCTTCTTGTATACTTAGATATTTACATTATCTGTACAATTTAAAACGGACCGCATTAGGTGCTTCGCAAGTCACGAAAACGTGTTATTATGACGTGTTTGTTATTAAGCACAAAGCTACACAAAGAGCTATATGTGCTCTGCTCACCACGGGTATCGAAACCCGATTTCGAGCGGTATAAGTCCGCGGACATAACACTGTGCCACTAGGGAGGGGGCCTGCATCTTTATTGAATTTCAAAATGGAGTTCCCCTCCAGTGGCTCAGTAGATGCCCGGTGTGGGCACAGCACAGATAGCCCATCGTGTAGCTTTGCGCTTATTGAAAAACAAAAAATTCAAAATAGAGAATTATAAAGGGGAAAACTTAATAGATAAATAGATCCACATGCACGAATATTTTCGTTTATATGTGCTAGCTGAGAATATCTATTAAGGAAACAAAAACTGTTGCCCCCCCCCAGTGGCCCCATTAAGGAAACAAAAACTGTTGCCCCCCAGTGGCACCATTAAGGAAACAAAAACTGTTGCCCCCAGTGGCACCATTAAGGAAACAAAAACTGTTGCCTCCCAGTGGCACCATTAACGAAACAAAAACTGTTGCCTCCCAGTGGCCCCATTAAGGAAACAAAAATTGTTGCCTCCCAGTGGCACCATTAATGGAAACAAAAACTGTTGCCCCCCAGTGGCCCCATTAAGGAAACAAAAACTGTTGCCCCCAGTGGCCCCATTAAGGAAACAAAAACTGTTGCCCTCCAGTGGCACGATCAAACATTTATAATTTTCTGGACAGGTTGTTTTTGTTTTTATAACGAGCATCAGGAAAAAAGCGTGTATAAATGTTTTTATTGTTGTATTTTACGATGTTCTACATACATGCTCCCCCAGTGGCACTGCGGACGTACAACGCTAGAATCCGGGTTTCGATACCCGTGGTGAGCAGAGCAGAGATAGCCCATTGTATAGCTTTGTGCTTAATTACAAACAAACAAACAACAAAAACTGTATAAAGGGACAGTGTTAGATAATGCTCCCTTTCATTCTTTTTTTGTTGTTATTATAAGTCCCTAATGGCCTCATTAGAGACTAATTACACTATAAGAAAGATGAGGCTTTCTATACCCCTCCTTCTCGGGCATAAATCTTAAAACAAAATAGTCCTTGTACACCGTCGGACTGTTTCATGTTAGCATATCAAAAATTACTGTAATTGAGCCAATCAACTGTGGGTCATGGATACTAACACACATAAAATGGATCCTCTTTATAGTAAGGTATATACGAGGCAACTTATGAAGTTGCAATATAACTTGAAACCTTCAAACTGGCGATGGAAATAAACCCATTGGGCTTTCCAAACACATTTCTCTAAACTATGCATACACCAAATAGATTTGGGGCCGTGACTTTGTTGGTTGCATAGTCCTAACAACATACGAGTCCTAGAAAAGAAGAAGAAACCAAATGCAAATAGCACTAATATTTACACAAAATGTTGCCAGAGGCCAAAACGTAAATTTATTCAGTAAACGTATGAAAATATGTCGGTAATTTGGGCAGTAAGAAATAAAGTCAAGAAAATAATTTATATTTTTACTGTAATACACACAGTTGTACCCATCGCTATTGGCAATATTAGTCTTAGCATGATAACGGTATAATTCCGGTTCCATATGGTGGAAGAGAAATAAAACAAAACAAAAAAAACGAGAGAGAGTTTAGTTCACTGCACGAAATGTTTATTTATACATATTTAAACAGTTTAATGGAAATGTTGAAGGAATAATATTTTCTTTTGAAGAATCAGAGTTACAGGGAACTGTTTTATTTATACCAGTGACGAGATGGATAGCAACATACAACTAAATCATTAAAGTGTTGGTTCTGGGTTACACGGAAACTGAAAAAGTTAATGAAGCTCTTTATGTTGGATCGGGGTTACACGGAAACTAAAAAAGTTAATGAAGCTCTTTATGTTGGATCGGGGTTACACGGAAACTGAAAAAGTTAACGAAGCTCTTAATGTTGGAGCGGAGTTACACGGAAAATGAAAGTGTTAACGAAGCTCTTAATGTTGGTTCTGGGTTACACGGAAACTGAAAAAGTTAACGAAGCTCTTAATGCTGGATTGGGGTTACACGGAAAATGAAAAAGTTAACGAAGCTCTTAATGTTGGTTGTGGGTTACAAGGAAACTAAAAAGTTAATGAAGCTCTTAATGTTGGTTCTGGGTTACACAGAAACTAAAAAGTTAACGAAGCTCTTTATGTTGGAGCGGAGTTACACGGAAACTAAAAAGTTAACGAAGCTTTTAATGTTGGATCGGGGTTACACGGAAACTGAAAAAGTTAACGAATCTCTTAATGTTGGTTCTGGGTTACACGGAAACTAAAAAGTTAACGAAGCTTTTAATGTTGGTTCTGGGTTACACGGAAACTGAAAAAGTTAACGAAGCTCTTAATGTTGGATCGGGGTTACACGGAAACTGAAAAAGTTAACGAAGCTCTTTATGTTGGTTCTGGGTTACACGGAAACTAAAAAGTATAACTAAGCTCTTAATGCTGGTTCTGGGTTACACGGAAACTAAAAAGTATAAGTAACCTCTAAGTTTCGTGTTACACGGAAACAGAAGTTATATAGATCAAGAATTTTTCTAAATAATGAACATTTATTACATATATAGAGGGCACTGATTGCTGCAAACAATACTACATATTCTCTCGTTTGTTTTTAATAAGTAGGGTTACCGAGTACATTATTTCAACTCTCACGTGATTTTGTGTATGATGGTAATCAGGCGTGTCATGCGTAGTCGTATCATTCCCGGTTCGATCATTTTAGATTACAAGTATTAAGTACTGGTTCGAGAGTTTACAGAAGTTTTACATTTAGCACCTAATCGTTATACGTAAAACCTTCAATGCGTGTTATATAGAGGAGTTTTGTTCCTAAGATCTTTTGAAACTCTCGTGAAAAACGAGGTACACATTAACTTATGAACTTAAATCAGAAAAAGAAGTCTCGTAGTATGTTTTTCCTTCCGTGAATATAAGTTAGCAAGACACTTCACAGTTTAAACATAATTTATATCCTTTTTCTATAGCGTCTTCTGAAGTGCTATACACCCTTCGAAGTGCTATAAAATATTTATTAATAACACTTCATCATAATACACTAATTATATAAATTCGAATTACAATGTAATTTTTTAATTTAATGGCGTAATATTAATTAATAATAGGTAAAATAAAGTTGGTTTATAAATTGAACAGAAGTTTGAAAATAATTATAGTAACAGTGTTTAATTCTAAAATACACTTTTCAGTTTGTTTCATGTTTATTAGGATGACTGCATTATTTATGTTTCACGATCAAAGTGTTTCAGATCATCTAAAGCGCACTATTCAGTTAGTTTACTAGTTAACATCTGTTTATTAGGATGACTGCATTATTCAATAGTTACTTTATGTTTCATGACCAAAGTGTTTCAGATCTAAAGCGCACTATTCAGTCAGTTTACTAGTTAACATCTGTTTATTAGGATGACTGCATTATTCAGTAATGACTTGAAATTTCATGATCCAAGTGCTTCAAAACTTCTCAGGTTAATGAAGTATAAGATCAATTACGCTTTCAGATTTGTTTAATCCCACGAGTCAGTTTTGTTTTCTGAAATTAACATTCTTCCTCAGTTGTGACTTCAAGTGAGATCCAAATGAATGCAAGGAAGAAAACAGAAATGAGACAAAAGATCTGATTAGATTTATATATATATGTGTCAGGCTCAGCTGTTAAGAAATGTAATCAAATCACACGTTAGTTTGTCTTTGTTTACAAATTTATAGTATTTCCTTTTCCATTGCAAACGTCATAACCAGTTGTATCCATCTCACGCTTTTGGGATGAGAGAGCTATTCTTAATGTTTTTCTTTCTGTACGGTGTCGGCCCGGCATGGCCAGGTGGATAAGGCGCTCGACTCGCAATCTGGGGGTCGCGGGTTCGAATCCCCGTCACACCAAACATGATCGCCCTTTCAGCCGTGGGGGCGTTATAATGTGATGGTCAATCCCACTATTCGTTGGTAAAAGAGTAGCCCAAGAGTTGGCGGCGGTGGTGATGACTAGTTGCCTTCCCTATAGTCTTACACTGCTAAATTAGGGACGGCTAGCGCAGATAGCCCTCGTGTAGCTTTGCGCGAAATTCAAAAACAAACAAACAAACAAACTGTACGGTGTCCTAATAATGATACATACATGTAGATAAATCGACCGACAGAGGGACAGTAGATAAACAGTTCTTAGTTAGCGTGTTTCGTACATATATTGAACGCGCAACAAAAATTCTAATAACTTATCAAAGCAGAAAAGGATGTGTTAAGCACACTACTTCTGCCGTATCCAGTACCGACGAGTCCTTTCGGCCAATATCAAGCCGATTGGGATACAACATATTAGTGGTCTAGGCGTTTTTTGTATCAACAACTTAATATATGGAGTAGTTTAAACAGAGTTTCTTTTAATCACTGGTCTTATCCGTTAATATAGTAATTATTCCGCCATTTTTAATACCTTCAATAACAGTAAACTTATAACCCTTTTATCAAGGAAAACACTCATATATATTATATAATTTAAATGAAACATTTAGTCTAAGCTATATGATATATAATTTCTAAATTTAATCAGAAGATAATTTAACAACAGATCTATTTTTTATCGGGTTAACCTTTATTTTGATACACCGTGCTATTAAGGTAAAACATGCATTCACCCGAACTACTCTACAGTAGTTAATAACGATCGAAGTTTTTGGAAGGTTAGCTTCACGCTTCTTTGAAGACCCGAAGCGCGAGCTGGGCAAGCTTACCTTCAGCGACGGTAGCCAGCGTGGCCAGGATCAGGATTCTCCAAAGAATTTTCTCTCCTATTTTTCGTTGTTTTTTGTGAGCAAAAACCATAGTTTCACAAAGCGCGTGCTTCGGATATACCCTCGACATTTTCTCTAGCTTCACGAATACATCTTAAAATACCCAATACGCTATTCTCGTGCATGCATCTAAGTCCACAACATCCAAAAAACGCTCACTTCCAGCGTGCAACTTGAATGTCCATACCCTTGTAATTCACCACACGCGCTGCAAGCGTTACGCAGTCTGAACTAGAAGAACTAACCTTGACAACTGAGCGACCGCGTTGGCCTCGCTCGTGTCTGCCTAATATGGTGATACCCTGTTGAATATTCAATAAGCTTAGAACATAGCCAATCAGGCAGCGTAAAACAGAGTGTTGAAGAACGTGGAGAGAAAATAACCAATTGTCTCGTTCGCCAGATGTATAAATCTGTGCGAACATTGAACTAGCCTCAGTTCACACGTTTTTTTGTTTGTTTGTTTGTTTCACTGAAAAAGGCTGTGAATATTTGTTCTGTTGAACAAAGATTGCATAAACAAATCCTTACTTCTAAGATCATCTGAAAATAGGAGTATATATTTAATTTTTCATGCAGATATGGGAGTGGGAAAGGTTAAAATATACCCCCCCCCCACTAACTGACCGCAAAGAAGAAAACACTGCCTTGTCTCTCTTACATGTTTTTTCTTTTTGAAATGAGCTTGAAAATGAAACTATAAAATTGGGCCTACGTGGATAAACTTGTGAAACAGAGGGTAATACTACGAAAAAAACAAACAAAAAAAAGAACGAAATTGTTTGTACGTGTGTTTATGGCAAAGCTATTTGTTGTCGTTCCTAAATTTGAACTGCCGACCACAGGGAAAGCATCGGGCCGACAATACCCTCCGCCAACTTTTGGGTTAGTCTTTATAAATAAAATGACTGAAAAGGTGAGCAGCAGTATTACGTTCGGCGCCTGGTTTCGATTTGTGAATCGAGCGCCTTAACCACTAGGCTGAACTGGGTAACTTTTGAAAATAAAACCTCAACGATATCTTCTCTTCCTTGCATTCTTGGATATTGAAACTAACGTTTTAAAGTTCAAAGCTCCTATGATAAATGCCTAACTCAAATCACCTTTATATACATAATATATCAGGCTCTCTACTTTACTAAGTTTTCACGATTATGATAATATTCATACTTTGTTTATTACGTTTCATACACGGAAGATAGTAAAGGAAGAGATCTCTCATAATGTACTTTTTTAAAGCCAATTCATAAGAGTTTCTAATATATTATAACATTTTTTTTTGCTATTTAAAAAGAATGTCATCATACGTCATAATTAGAATTTTATGTAGACTGAACATGGGAGTCGAATCTTATTACTCAACGGGAGTCTAACCATCATATGATGTAAAGAGAGTAATCAGAAAAAGTGTAGGATACGATCTGCGATACAAACTTTCTTTTAAAAAAATGTTTTTTTTCTTCTTCTCTGAAGTAAATCGAGATATTTATTGATAACATTTGATCAAATAATGAAGGTGATTGAAGATGTCTGTATAAATAGGACTGTGTACTCTCATAAAACTTTTTAATGATTAGAATGCGTGGATTCATAATGTAAGTACCATTACTGTTAGCAACGTTTTCGGTCTTAATCCCAAAAGTATTTGAGAAGGCTTAACCAACTTGGGAGATTTAGATTGCCTTTAAATTAATACACAAACCCAATAATGTAAAATATATTGATGCTAACAATGTTGCAAACATACTAGCTCAGGCTGCCTGAGAATCGGTGACGTTTGTAATAACGTATCTGCACTTTAGGTATTATTTGGTTTTTGTTATTTAATTTCGCGAAAAGCTACCCGAGGGCTCTGTTCCTAATTTTGATGTGATGGACTAGAGGGAAGGCAGTTAGTCAATACCAACCAGTGCCAACTTGTGGTCTACTCTAATCAAATAATGGGATTTAACGTCACTTTTATAATCCACCTACGGCAACGTAATGAGGAGCGTGATTTTTTTTTAGAGGTAACTGGAAGAGAACCAATGAACTTTTGATCGACAGTCCTGAACCTTGTGAACACTTTTAGTCATAATAAAACATACGAACTCATCAGTATGAAACTAGCCGATCCTAATTTTGAACCACGTGCACCTACTGCCACCTTTTAAGAGGAGTTGGTCTTGTCTAAATGAATATTGGGATTTAACAGTCTCTCAAAGTGTGAAACGGGATTTTTTCTTGTTTTGTATGGCGGTAGCGAGACGCGAACTTGGAATTCTCAGCTCTACAGTCCGGCATGTTAACCATTGA